ACAATTTTTTGATGAAAAGTCAAAGCGGCAATGATGTTTTTTGTCATTAACAGATAGTTACAGGTAGACAGCCTTTGTCAATAATAACAAGCATTTGTGAAACTGTGGCTTATTTTGAAGCTCCTTTCACAAAATGTAAACCAACAGCGAATTTGCGAATATGCGATTAGTTATGGAAAAATACGTACACAGTAACATATCAGAAGCTGTAATAACTTACACCAGTAAAGAGCTACACACTAGACGAGTGGCAATCTAAAGGTGCTCGGTTTCCAGACCTAGAGGAACAGGTATTGGAGATTATTGCAGCTGAGCCTTCCAGGAGTACTTGAAGCATTGCACAACAACTGCACTTTCTCAAACACCGGATACTTAATTGTCCCGATAACTCCCCCGAGGAAGGGCCTACACTCCTACCATGTTTGTAATATGCACAGAACACTAGAACACATTAAATCTCTGATCTTCCGAACACCGGTTCAAATTGAGCAGCAGTTGATTAACTGAACACGAGAGCTGCTCAAAACATGAGCCCAGACTCAAAGTGATTCAGACACAAAGATGTTCGGAGTGAAACGGGCAGGAATTCTTGCTCTTGGGAACACTTGTGTTTTAACAACAGAATTGTATTTTATTTGATCAATTATATTGATCAATGGCCTCTAACCAGTGGTTTTAGATGACAGTTGTGACCTATTTAGGCTGTTTTGTCGCAGCACTGACCGCAAGGTGACACCCACAGATCACAAAGTACCAACCTCTGTGATCTGTGGTGTTTATGGTTACCGGAGTTAACGAAGGAATTTACGAAATGTTACCAGATTACAGCCACTTTCCAGTTTCAAGCAATGGACGTTTATTTTTGTCAAACTTCTCTTTGATTTTGCTAGTGTGAGCCGAAACGCGTCAGGCCATCTTCATGCTGGTGACCGTTCTTCTGTTGGGCGTCTCAAATTTACATTATCAAGCGTCAGTTAAAGATCAAAATCGCTCAAAAAGGGGGCTGAATGACCAATTTGTCCGTATTGTATGTAGATACTCGACTCAAAATAACTCTTTTCCCTTTGTCGGTTTCCAGCACGAGTGCAAAACTCAATTTCCCTTTTGACTTCCGGCATCTTGGGCGTCCAATGAAAAATCGAACATCGCTACGCTTAATTTTAGCGCAAGCACGATAACTGATGGTTATCTTCCGAAGGCTTCTTGTAGGTAGTGTTATCGTGACTTGAGCTTTCATTGATCCAAGGAAAACAGCATGGGGAAAAGTGTGGTGTAGAGGAAATGCATGGACGGTTTCACTAACAGTGCAGTAGATAAATTGTATCTGAGCACGGTTTCTGTCAGTATTTTTCCACTATTGACATACAAAATTAAAAACCATTGAACATGTTTAAATAATAATGTTTATCCAACTGGGGCATGTTTATAAATAGCTGATGTCCAAGCATGCATTTAAATGCACCAGTCCGCCTGGACTAAAGAGGGCATGAATTTTGCATGAAATTGTCCGCTTTTACTACTAAATCACTGCAGTTAAAGTTCAGTTCCTTCACTGAATTCAAGAAGTCGATTTAACGAAAACACACAATAATTGAGAGTTTTCCTTCGCATTTTCAATAAATTTCTGACGGAGGTAGATTTTTAGAAGCAACGCGGAACACTATTGCCAGTTGGCACCCAAATGTTGATTATTTGGGAACTGGAAAGGCCCCGGTGTCGTTTAATTAGCTCGTTGCATTCCTTGAAGTTTCCAGAAGTTGCCCAATAGCGAACATGAAAGTTGTGGGTCGATAATAAGGAAGATATCGTCCGTTGAGGATTGCAAAGATCTCGAAGCATCCAGGAGATTTAACAAACAAAATTTATTATGAAGTATTGAATATAAATTTATGGATGGAAATAGGGCTTCAGATTTAAAAAAAAATGCCGATGATTTAACTGACTTTAGGAGCCTTGATCGGGTCAAGCCCGGTTTATTGGACATTCAAACACCCATATAGAAACCATCATCGTACACAATAATGAACATTGTTTTAAAACTTTTTGTAATCTGGCTTTATCGCTTTTCATGACAACCGCATTGTGTATCGTTTCCTCGAACGTAAACTGTATGGAAATGATGAATAATGCGAATTCAAGGCTCTCCATTGGCGGGTGGGATGTTACCGGGAATTTTTTTTTCCTTTTTTACTCCTGAACCTTTGCAGGACCTTGCGTCTGACCACTATTTCAAATTTTATTGCTGATTTGGATCTTTGCCTGGGCATTATTTTAGATTTGTTTTATGCAGTTGTTGATTGCAAAAGTTGATTTTTTGATTATAGTTGTTCTAGAATATACATTTTCAACTTTAGATAAGATTCAGAGAAGTAATTAGTTTCGCTATCCCAAACTAACTCATTTGCTGAAAGTAAAATATTTTAATGTAAAATAACAACGGCAACAATGCATTCAGGCAGATATTCCTTGCAAATGTCAGTCTCAATTTGTGGTTCGTTTTTTCATTATGCTTTTCAAAACTTCAAATGTATAACAATGCCGAAGAAGCGTAAACTTTACGTTTCTTTTGTAGAGTCTAATTCCAATCTTCTGCATGAAAAACGCGCGGAATCCACGGCTGCTGTTTATTGCAAGCAAATTGCTTCTTCCCAGAAAGTGAGTGAACTTTTCGAAACATCAAGAAAATGTTTCTAAATTAATCTCAGTGCTGCCACAGACCTCCTCCATGGCCCTGTAAAACTTCTTTAAAGAACGAAAACTTCCTGTACCGAACCGTTACATAAAAACTGGACATGCAACACTATAAAAATATTCAGTTATCGCGTGCGCGACTCTATTTTTCCTTGTTTCGTAATTAATGTCATAAAACGAGGCTTTATCGGCACTTCTAATCTGGAAAAATGCCTCGTGGCATTCGCCTTCGTTCCTAAATCGCCATCATCAAAGAAAATTGCTCGCGGAGGGTTGGGGGTGCACATGCAACGCACGAAACCTTTTTACTCCTTGAGAAGAAACAATGGCCCTTTCTCAAACCACCGGCAGTCTGAGTATGGATGAACCAGGCCGAAACGCTGCGTTGGCTATTGGTTTAAAGATACGTCCGGCAATAGTCTCCTCATTAAGGAATTGTGTATATTTTCTTCAATTCACGCTTCCTTCTAAAATTAAATTGTCTCACATTACAATCGGATTAATCAGATTAGACACTATTTATCCGCTATTCATTGTCTCCGCAACTTACATAATCCAAGCCGGTGTGATTTCAATTTGAGATTGCGTTTGAAGCTCGTGTTTTTTTCTCTCTAATCGTTGTAATTAGACCATTGTTACTCGACGTTTAATTTAGATAAGAAATTTCGTTATATTTGCCAAATTTTAGTGAAAATTAATTATTGTTTCAATGATGGTTGCAGTTTGCTAATTTTCATTTCTAAAATTATTACATTTTTTCAGTTTTTTCAAAATATTGACTGCAGTTGAACAAATGTGTTTCCAGGTTACCAGCTTGCTGTTGGAGGCGGAGCGCAGAAAACTGTCAGTACTGCAAAAGGAGCTGAAAATCGCTCTAGAAGAAGGAGGCTCTATCAAAGCGAAAGAGCATCAGAAACAAGAGCTCTTGGTAGCAATAGCGTAAGTGACCGTTGTTAGAAAAAAACCGAAGAAACCGCAACAAATTTTCCCAAGTTTCAAAGAGCAATTAATGAATTAATTTCCATAAAAAATGAATTTTATCTCGAACTTTCATACTACCCACGGCCATCTAACGGCCAGTCGCCTAACGCTTCGTTATTATTCCAGTCGTATACAAGCCCAACATGATCATTTGGACAAGGAGTATCGAGAACATGCACTGGGGGCGCTGATATCAGCCAGTTCACGAGGACTCGGCAAGGTAAGTCTAGAATGTGCGATCACAGAGGGCACTGCAAGTGTCACAACTAGCAAAAAATGCATCAATTGAAATTGGCCATAAACGAACGAATATAAGAAATGAAAGTAGACACTTGATCAATGTCAAGTGTACCTTTACAAGCGCTATTTAGGTTTCACCCTTGTGGCGTTCACTCTTCTTAATAGATTGAATTTTTCGCCGGGAAAACGCCCGTTAGGAGAACAACTGGGTTCATGAGCGCCTCATATAAAGAGCACAGTGGCAAACGAGAAAAGGGCACAAAAACACACTATACCGATGCAAAAACAGCAAAAACTTTTAGTTTTCCGTGACAGGTAGAAGCGCTTTAAGTTGTAGGAATGGCGACAAGTTAAACTTGACAGCTATCAACACAAGTTTTTATAACTTAAATCAAATGACGTAAGGAAAGTATGCTTAGAATATCAACTAGTCACAAAATAAAGACTCAGAACTGCGAAAGTA